TTTCGCGACCCCAGCTGCGACTTCTGCTTCCGCCTCTGTCCATCGGTCGAGTTCGCTTAGCCTCGGATCTGGGGGATTTCGCAGACTGCCACGGACCTCCACGGCTGCCTCAGTTTGGTCGATGACTGATCGGACTGCGGCACTCGGTGGAGTCGAAAACACGTCGGAAAAAAACGCAGAAGAGCAGACACACGGGTCATGTTTCCTCATCGTCACTATTCATGTTTCTCGATATTTTTTGGTACAGTTGAGGAGCACTCGCAAACATTTACTCCGTCATGGATTTGTTTGTTTTAGGATGTTGAACGTGATGCCCCGAGCACGAGTACAATGTTGGTGACTTCTGAGTCATACATGATCCGTATCATCTACAACCTTCCGCTTGAAGGTCCGGATGCCCTCCCAAGTCACAAGACAGACCTAGAGTTACCTACCTGGGAGTTCCAAACACTGTCCAATTTGCATCCCTTAGCGGAAATCATGGAGTAACTGTGGGATTGGAGCGAACGTAGGGAGAGGGTGTTTAAAGCCTGCATAGATTGCTCAACCAGCCGGAAGTTCAATCGGGATTTCAACAAAGGTTACATCAAAGTCGGAAGTCGTTGAAAGAGGGCGTATGAAAGATTATGAAAGTTAAGTTCATTCCTTGTGTTATTAGTGTTGCACAAACTAAGAGTTCCATTTTCCCAAATCTAATCCTTTCAACACTGTGTTCTTTCAACACTATGTGCGTGTCCAGAGCCTCCAGTTGGCACCCCTAGATTTAGAGCAGATTTAAGCGCGTCATTGACCAGAATTCCAAGTGTGAAAACACAGCATGAGGTCGAACTCCCTGCTAGTCATACCCCAGACCTTTTTTTTTGATCAAGCTTCTTGATGGCTTTTGCTGTATCAAAGGATGTTGGATGTACATTGCCATTCTGGCTGAGCAGTTTGTCGACCTCTTGAAGTCTTGACCAGGCAGTCCTTTGAACGCATCTCGCCACCGCCACACCCGCCACACCATGGTGCGTGTGTTCAGCTTCAGTGGCGAAGTGGTTCTGAACCGCACAGAGGCGCTCAGTTTGGAAGAGCTCTCGAAAGAGGCCAGGGGGATTGGCTTTGTTGGCTTCAACCTCTTCAGGATCTTCAGGAACACGGCACAACCCTCTTGGTGACCCTACCAGATCCTACCAGGGGGAGCTGGGCGGGTGAGGATAGCTCAAGGCATACTTTATTGATTAAGAGGACACTGGCAGGTTCGTCCCCAACACCAGGAGCCAAAAACAAACCTCCCCAAACACCTTTTCCAAGGATTCCACTGCTTCTCAGCGATTCCGATGGAACTTCTAATTAGATTAGACGTGCTGCTTCAAATTCAATGGGTAAGAGGGCCAAGGATGAACATGTTTGCATTGATTGTTTTCAGAGTCCAGGTGCCCCACCTTGAGATCCCATCCGCATCCATCTGCATCTGCGGAGATTTCCTTCCTTTTACCATGAGCCACCACAGGTGGCTGCGGCTGTGGGGGCGCATTGCCGCCTGATCCGCCGCGACGGATCCGAGTTGACGGGTCCGAGCTCCGCACTGATCGAGGAGGAGGAGGAGCTCACTTGTGTCGTCAGTAGCGTCGAACCGTGGCTGAAGATGCTGGGTTTGCTGCATGAAGATGGCACAGCCTTCTCAGAGTCATGGCTTTTTAAGCAAAGGATGTGGTGGGAGGTGGGTGGAACGGATGATTTGCTGCGCCACAGGATGGGGAAGAGGTGTGCTTTTTCCTTCCAGGTCACGGCGTTCCTTCCAGACCTCACAAAGCCAAGGTTGATCGGTAAGTCAGTGAAAAAGCTATTTGGTCCTTTGAGGGGCCCTTTCCTCACGTCGGGCAGAAGGATCGGCAGGATCGTAGTCCTCTTTCAGATCGGTGCGTTCGGAGCTTGGTTCGGTTCGCGGCGGTCGAAGAAGCGATGAGGAATGACGGGCCTCGGGAAGCACCTGGAAGACGGAAGACCAGGCTGCCATTGACCGGATAGTGGGTTTGTTCCACTTCCTATATAAAGAAACGATCAGCTGGACATGTGTTGGTTTTGTATTTGTTCTTCAGGAGTGGAGTGAGGACCACTTCACGCAAAAAGACCCACCAGCTTCATCCCCGCTGCACGGACACCGTCGGTGTTGTCGGTGGTTTTTCTCAGGAGACCTTCAGTCGAGAAGACTTGGAGACCATGGGCACGAAGCTGGGGCGTACACTCCTGCAGGTCGCCTGTTTACATGGAGGTCCAGGACATATGGAGGGATACCTTCGAATCCGTTGGCCCTTCAGTGGTCCTGCACCCAAGAACTTTGCC